GCACCAGGTTCCGACAGGGTTGCTGCACCCTCCTACCATTCCGGAATGGAAGTGGGAAAGGATCACTATGGACTTTGTGATAGGATTGCCACGATCTTCACGAAAGAATGACGCCATCTGGGTCATTGTTGACAGGTTGACGAAGTCCGCTCATTTTCTACCCGTCAGACGTGACTCTTCCTTGGACAAATTGGCAGACTTATACGTTAGAGAGATAGTTCGGTTGCACGGTGCACCACTGTCAATCATATCTGATAGAGATCCCCGGTTCACTTCGATGTTCTGGAGAGGACTTCAGAAGGCTTTTGGCACAGCTTTGAACCTTAGTACGGCATTTCACCCTCAGACCGATGGCCAGTCTGAAAGGGTGATACAGATTGTCGAGGATATGATGCGAGCTTGTGTGATCGACTTTGGAGAGGATTAGGAGCGCTACTTGCCGTTGATGGAGTTTGCATATAATAACAGTTACCAGGCGAGTATTCAGATGGCTCCTTATGAGGCACTCTACGGCAGAAAGTGCCGAACCCCGATTTGTTGGATAGAGCTTAGCGAGCGTAAGCTCGAGGGACCAGATATTGTGCAGGAAACCGAGGAGAAGGTTCATGTGATCAGAGACCGACTCCGCACTGCTTCGGACAGACAGAAATCTTATGCAGACTTGAAGAGACGAGACATAGAGTACAATGTTGGTGACATGGTATTTTTGAAGGTTTCACCTTGGAAGAAGGTCCTACGGTTTGGGAAGAAAGGGAAGCTTAGCCCTAGATTCATTGGACCCTACCGCATTCTGGAGCGAATAGGACCTGTTGCTTACAGGTTAGAGTTGCCACCAGAGTTGAACAGGATTCACGACGTCTTTCATGTCTCCATGCTATGTAGATACCGTTCAGATCCGACTCATGTGTTTCCGACCAATGCTGTAACCCTCGACGAGAGTTTGTTTTACGAAGAAGAGCTAGTTAAGATCTTGGCGCGCGAAACTAAAGTGCTAAGAAATAAGACGGTACCTTTGGTAAAGGTCCCAAGTTGTTTGACTTTAAAAAGGTTTCCGCATTATTTTAAATTACTCCGATGGATTTTTATATGTATTGATAGAACGTTTGTTTAAAATTGTTTTGAAAATGTTGTATATTCGGATACCAATCCAGTGGCACACATCGGTCCGCTATCTCACGGGTTTGGGTTACGCGGGTTGGGGTGTTACAAATAGACTTTGTTACAATTTTAAAACTTTTTCGTTTCTTTTGAAAACGTGAAAATGAGTACTCCCTCCGTCACACTGTCTTTGTCCACTTACCTTTTGGCACACCATTCAATGCACTTCTTTAATCCATTTTATCTTGTAATTTGTATATTAAAAAATTATAGAAATTATATATTAATAATCTATATGTTAAGACAAATCAAACAAGATCACACATGACTATATTTAGGCTTACACATTGAGAGAATTTGATGAGTCAAAGTCCTTAGATGAACAGTTCCAAAAGTCAAAAGTGGACAAAGACAGTGGGACGGAGGGAGTAGTAATCTAAAGTTCTTGTGAACTTAGATTGAGTGCGGAAGTTGGTGGGTTATTAGAGCAGTAATCAATATGGATGGGTTAGTTTCATAGTTAATGTAAGTGCAAGTATAAGTAAAGATAAAAGAGAGAGACACGCAAACTTTAACGAGGTTCGAAGGTGGGGTAATCCTTCTACGTCCTCAAAATCCACTATGTAGTTGGTCGTTGAATAATGAACCAACAATATATTCAGAAGGCCAATGTTGCTACTGCACTCGTGCTGGCTTTGTTGTTCCTTCGAAGGTCACGCTTCTTCAACAATTGCAAGATCCAAACAACAGGACTTGCAAGATCAACTTTAAGAAAAGTTGATGTGCCCCGTTTTAATCAAGAAGTTTGATTAAAAGTTGTATCCTTCAACGCGGTATGGTACTTGAGGCAAGGAAATCTTCAAGTGTTTACACTATAGCTCTTTGAAAGGAGGAGAAGTTTGCTTCTGGATAAGGAGTTTAGAAATCTCTCTTTATCAGACTTTTTGGCTAACTGTGAATGAGATAGTTTGTGTTCGTCGTTGTTGTCGTAGTTTCGCTTGTTTTCTCATGCACACATTTCTCTAGTCTTCCATGGAAGTTATATATAGCCGGGTGAATAATCTATCCGTTGAAGGGAATAGACTATCCGTTGCATTTGCTGGCTTCAATTTTGAACGAAGAGTGAGATTGAGGATTCTTCATTGGAATGGGTGTTTGGACATACCCAATTGTTTGAGAAAAGATTCCTTTTTCACAGAATCCGTCTTTTAGTTGTTGTTCAAGAATTCTAGACTGTAGCTCTTTATTGAGTGGAGTACCCATTTTGTCTTCTTGTACTTGTTTAGGAATTCTGGGCGAGCTCTTCAATTTGTGAAGTTCAGACCTTGTCTTCAAGTCATTTGTTCTTGAATCAACTTAATTATCCTCAATCTAGCCGTTGAAATTCAAGAATTTGATTTTTCCTTACCAACGGGTAGAATTTTTTCATTCATGACTTAGATACTTTTCTAAGTCTTTTCTCACTAGTCTGCTTCTGAGAGTTTCGGTCTTCCTTGAGACATCCGGTTCTTGGCTGGCGATTCTGGATTAGTCAACCTTAGACTTCCGGGTGAGAAAGAGATTCGTGCTAGTCTTCCGATCCGGATAACTTAGCCTTCAGCGGGTCGTAGTGAGACATCCGGGTAATTGTGTTTGATGGATCTCAATATCCAAAATGGCCACTAAGATCTTAGAAGCAACAACTCTCCAAAAAAAATAAAAACAAAGAAAATTGTTTTTGAAAGGGAAGGATAAGAGGGGCGGTGAAAGGCAAAAAAAAAGACAGAAAGACAAGAAAAAGAAAATTTTTTTTGAAAGGAAGATAAAAGAAGGGTTTTGAAAAAGAGTTTAAAGGAGAATTATGGGTAAAAGAGAAAAAATGGTGACTAGGGAAGAAAAAGTTTAGAAAAAAATTTTAGACAAGCCGGGGAAGAGAAAGAGGCTTGCATCATAGCTGTTTTAAAAAGAGGTGGAGGAGAAGTAGGAAAGAAGAAGAGGGAGGAGAAGCGAAGACCTGAAATCAATTTAAAAAAATGAATAAAAAGGGAGAGATGAAAGTAGGCCAAGGAAAAAGAAAAGAAAGTTTTGAAAAAGATTTTGAAAAGAAAAAGGAGAGTGTTGATCCAGAGAAGGTGTGTGGCGAGATGCAAGAATGCGAGATTCTCACCATAAACCTTCTCTACTGCCGAGATTTCCACCATAGACCTTGAACATCTTTTCTTCCCACCAGGCTTTCTCCATTGCCGTCTATGAAGGTGAGGAAGAGAGATTTCTCCATTGAAGAGAGTTTTCTAGGTGTTTTTCTCAGGCAGTGAGTTTGAAGACTTTTCATAGTGTGAGAATTTGTTTGTGATAGGAATTGATATGTATTGGCTCGGTTTAAATAAGAGGAGATAGGAATGAGAAGTTCACGGGTTCCATTAAGTGGGTAGTTGGAACGGTGAGAGTAAAAGAGTTTCTACTCCCAAGAAGTTGAATTTTGAAAAGTTGAAGGAATCTTTTACCGGTTACCAAAGTGTTGAAACTGTTTCAAATGAAACCAGTTTCAATTGATTTGAAACATGTAACTGTTTAGGTTCTGCTAAGCCCAAAAGAATGGCCCAAAAAATCTATGAACTTAAGGGAAATTATTCTTATTGGGTTCTCAAGGCCCAAAATAAAGCCTATCATTTTTCATTCCCCGAAGTTCTAAATTCTAATTAGGACGAGGTAGTGCCAGAAAAAATATAAAATTCATTTTAAAGAAAAGTGGTAATAATTTTCCAAAGTTCTGTACAAAAAAAAAAATCCTAAGGACCAGTACTTTTAGAGCAGGAGTGGAAACTCAATTTAAGAAGGCAGATTTTGTAGAGTACCTGAATCGGAGATCTCCAACTCTAGTACAAGACTTGAGATATCTGTCTTCCATTGCTTAGAGTTCATCAGTAGTTCATTACCAAAAACAATAATTAGCCAAAAACAGTTAAGTTCCCCCTGAATTACATTCCCCCCTGAGTGTATGCACGCATAGTGAATCTCAAAAATTATACTTAAAGGAGATATGTTCAAACATAATTAAGAGATGTATCAAAAATGTTTAAACAAGAAGGTGTTTTCATCAAAACATAAATAATGTGTTCAAGACTTCCCCCTGTTTTCATGAAAAGAGCCTTCAATTCCTCTTGCGCTGGGAAGATTCGGCAGCCTCACCAATTCCTTGCATCACTCCACACTCAGCCTTAATACGCTTCAGATTGTCATATCTTTCCTTTTGCCGAGCCTCATTTGTGAAGAGTGAGGCAATGGTTCCTAAGGCTTCTGTTCCATCAAACTCATTGTTTGATAGATGTTGAACCGAGTTTTCAGGGTTGCTCTGTCGGGCTTCCAATATCAGTTCAGTCATGTTCAAATGAGTTGCAATGTACTCGAGCTCTCCTTCTTTTGCTTGAATCGGATGTCTTGGAATTGGAGGTAAACTTTTGTGTTGGACAATCACCTGCAGCTTGCGTTGCGCAGTGAGGGTTTCAAAGTGCTTGAAAATCTTGAATGCTTCCTTCTGATTATCAGCAAGAACCTTCAGGTAATCTTGGCTGACCACTATATTTTGCTGAGGACACTGCCAGGGCTGATGTGATGTCCATCTAGAGAAATGACATTTGCTTCTGAAGACTGGTTGTGACGGTGGCAATCTGCTGCTTGATCTCCATAGCTTCTTTGAGTTGAAGATGGCAGTCAAAGGCATAGGCTATCATGGAATTTCTCACTGAGTTGCTCAACAGGGAAATAATCTCAAGGGTCTTGTTGATAGATTGGTTTATCTCCATGAGGTTTGAGCTATACTTTTCTTCAGTATTCTCTAGAATTTGATTGTGTCTCATTTCTACCTTCTCTAGGTCTTGCCTGATTAAGGCTTTCTGTGACTCCAGGGCTGACTCAATCAGCCCTTGGACCTTCCTAGTCCAGGATTCCGGCATCTCATCCGGAAAGGTAGATGTGGAAGAGCTGTGAAAGTGAAAGTTCGTTACCTGATTGGAAGAAGGTACTCTTTGATAGAGTTGCAGAAGGAGGGATTCAGCTTTTTCTCCTACTTCTGCATCTCCATCATGAATTTTCAAAGTCTTCACTGGCTCTTCCTCAGTTTCTGTTTCCTTGTAGTTTGAGATTTCCTGGGAGAGTGAATCTCTTACTACATCTATTTGTTGCTCAAAAATAGCAACTGGAGTTTGAATGACCTCCAGTCTAGCTACTTGAGCACCTTCTGCGGCTTCTCTGTGCTTCAACAGCTGGTTCCTCATTAGCTTCCTCTACTGTTGTTTCTAGAGGAGTGAACTTCTCCAGATTTGCTGATGACTTCTCTAGAATTTCAGGTTCAGTCTGGTTGGAGATCTCACAAGTGGTTGTGATGATCTCATGGACCTAAAATGGGAGGGATTGTAGAAGTTCTTCTTCAGATGCAGTTTGATTCTGTTCTTGTTGTTGCGAAGTGGCTGTATGCTCTAGGATGGTTTCAGCAGGAACAGTTTCAATGGCAGGGTAGGATTCCGGAAAAACCGTGAAATCCTCTGCTTCAGCCTCCAAGTCTGCATGTGCTTCAATAGTGATGTTCTTAGCCTGGTCTGCAGTCTGATTGCCAGCTGAATTCACGAACATGGGTGTGTAGACTGCTACATAGTCATAATCTACCTCAAATTCTGGGGCTGAAGAGGTGGACAAGTGTTCCAACAGCACGTCTTCATTTGTTTTCTTCCAGTCCCATTGCTCATCCAAAATCTGCTCGCAATGGCAGTTAATTGGCAGTCCCAGACATTTCTTGATAATCTTATCATTCTTCAGTTGTTGATCCCATTCAAGCAACTGATCTGTAGAGTTTCCAACCTTCCAAGCTCTCGAAACATAGTAGAGCTGCATGAATTTGTCTACTTCATCAGCAAGAGCTTGTGATGGAGGAGATGGAAGATTCTGGTCTTGATAGAATTCCTCATTAAGATCTTGAGGACTGTCTTGTGGTTGGTTCTGCACTGAGTTCTCCAGATTGGAATTTCCAGATGTGGAGGGAGAGGAAATTCTCCTCTTCTTCTTCTTCTGAAGTTCTCCTAGAGTAGAAACTTCTTCTTCTTCATCTAGATTGACTACTGCCAGAGTGTGTGGTTCCTCCGCACTGTGGGAGGTAGATGCCACTTGCTTCCTTTTTGAGGACTTTTTCTGACTTACAATCAGAACATCATCTGAAGATCCTTCATCTTCTGCAATAGAACTGGCTTTGTTTTCTCCCTTGGATGATAGATAGTACAGCCAATATCTGGCATCATACTTCTTGCCTTCAGAGGCAATGCCCATGGACTCCAGAATGTGTCCAAGATATAATCCTTAACAGAGATATTTCTGCTTGGGCTTCCCTAAGTGCTTGGAACTTGAATTGAAGAAGTGTTTAGCCCAATTTACCTTAGTCTTGGTAATGAGGGTGTTGATGATGAAGGCCCTTTCTTGGGTTATGTCATCTGCATGTCCTCCACTTCAACATTCCACACACGCAATGACCACCTCCAAGACTAATTTGTAGTCATTCTCCAGATCGGTCTTTTTTGCTGGGCAATAGGGGATTTGTCCAGAAATCCCAATTGTGTTCCAGTCCAGGTTTTTGGACGAGAGCTTCCCAATGTCAATTCCAGAGTTGGCAAGATGGAGCTTCTTCTTCATCTTCTTCTGTGAGATCTTCACTGCGGTGCCTCCAACAGTTGATTTAATGACTTGAATTGATCTCTGTGGATTCTTCTTGGATTGAATGGTTGTGACTCTTCCATTCCTGTAGAATTCAAGAACTTCTTCTTCATACTTGAGGCGAATTTCCATATGAAGGAATTCAGAGAGTTCTTGTGCATCAATCATTTCCAAATATGCCTCGTAGAATGCTGGCGAGGAGCATTTCGCTTCCATTTTTTTAAAAGTGAATATTTGCGCCTTCAACCTTCATTTTTGCAGGAATTTTGAGAGTAAGAACCTGAAGAAATTAAGGTTCTTCTGAGATTTCTCACGAGGAAGACGATGAAGATTTGAGTGGGCTGAGTGGGCAGTTGAGATGTGATTGTAGTGGCGATTGGGTTTTAATTTGGGCGATTTATGCGGCTGGTGGCGATTGGGTTTTAACTGTTCCCAAGGCCACGTGTCTACCCAATACTTTATCAGACGTGGTAAGTGGACTGCCACGTGTACTACACTCAGTCTAATTGAATTAGACCAATTTTGTGAAGCAATTCGGAAAGCTTGGCTTCACTAAGCGGTTTTGTGAAGATATCCGCCAATTGTTCTTTAGTTGAGATGTACTCAATCCTGATTTCCTTCTTTTCCACATGATCTCTAATGAAGTGATGCTTGACATCAATGTGCTTAGTGCGAGAATGATTCACTGGATTCTGTGAAATAGCTATAGCACTTTCATTGTCACAAAATATTGTCACTTCCTTCGTTTTGACTCCATAATCTAGTAGTTGTTGCTTTAACCACAAGATCTGAGCACAACAACTACCAGAAGCAATGTACTCTGCTTCTGCTGTTGATGTAGAGATAGAGTTTTGTTTCTTACTGAACCAAGAAACAAGATTTTCGCCAATGAATTGACAAGTGCCAGAAGTACTCTTCCGGTCAACTTTGCATCCGGCAAAGTAAGAGTCTGAGTATCCTACTAACTCAAATGAGCTGCTCTTAGCATACCATAAACCCATGTTTTGAGTTCCTTTAAGGTATCTAAGAATCCTTTTGGCTGCTATTAGATGGCTTTCCTTTGGCTTTGATTGAAATCTAGCACAAACACCTACTGCATATGAGATATCCGGACAACTTGCAGTAAGGTAGAGTAGAGATCCAACTATTCCTCTGTAGAGAGTTTGATCAACATTCTTTCCATCTACATCCATGTCAAGCTTGGTGGATGTACACATGGGTACAGAAACGGATGACTTCTGATCAACTTTGAATTTCTTGATAAGATCCCTTGTGTACTTGGCTTGATTGATGAGAGTCCCTTCACTTCTCTGCTTGATTTGAAGACCACCGAAGTAGTTGAGTTCTCCCTTCATGCTCATCTCAAATTTTCCTTGCATCAGGGTGGAGAACTTAGTGCAAAAAGCTTCCTTAGTTGAGCCAAATATGATATCGTCCACATAGATTTGGACCAATAGGAGATCTTCTCCATCTTAAAGTTTGAACAAGGTCTTGTCGATGACTCCCTTGATGAATCCATTGTCTATTAGGAATTGACACAATGTATCATACCAAGCTCTTGGTGCTTGTTTGAGTCCATACAGCGCCTTTTTGAGCCTATACACTTGATCGCCTTTGGTGTGTAACTCAAATCCTGGAGGTTGTTCCACATAAAGTTCTTCCTCTAGGTTTCCGTTGAGAAATGCGCTTTTGACATCCATTTGATAGACTTTGAAATCCTTGTGAGCAGCAAAGGCTAGAAATAACCTTATAGCTTCAAGTCTAGCAACTGGAGAAAAAGTTTCATCAAAATCTATACCTTCTTCTTGACAATAACCTTTGGCTACCAACAGGGCTTTGTTTCTGACAACAATCCCGTTTTCATCCATCTTGTTCCAGAAGATCCACTTTGTTCCAATGACATGTTGATGAGTAGTTCTTGGAACATTTTTCGAAACATCATTTCTGGTGAATTGGTTGAGTTCTTCTTGCATTGCATTGATCCAATTAGAATCAGCTAGAGCTTTCTTAATGCTCTTGGGTTCTACTTGCGAGATGAAACAAGCAAGCATGGCTTCTAGATTCTGTTGAGCGCTTCTTGTGTGAATGCGTGATTGGATATTTCCAATGATTTGTTGAGGAGGGTGATCTCTTAACCAACGAAGATTGTGTTGATTAGGGTTGACTGGCTGATCTAGTTCTGCTTCTGGTTGAAGAATGGAGTTTGTTGGTGTTTCCAGATTGGTTGGCACCTGATCACCATTTCCGGAATTGTCGCCATGTGAGAGATCCAGGATTTCGGAAGGCTGGCCATGATTTCCGGTAGGCTCAGCGCTATCTGAATCCGGATTTCTCCGTGAAGTCTTCAATGGTAGACTTCCGAATGGAATGACCTCCGTTGGCTTCATTCTATCTCCTTCATTGACTTCTTCATCTTTGTCTGAGAGATCCGGAACCTCATGATCAGGCTTTGATGATTTGTCAACTACATGTTTTTCATCAAAAATTACATGTATTGACTCTTCAGTGATCATGGTTCTTTTGTTGAAGACTCTGAACGTCTTGCTGACCAGAGAGTATCCAAGGAAGATGGCTTCATCTGATTTCTCATCAAAAGTGTTCAGATGATTCTTCCCGTTATTTAACACAAAACACTTGCTCCCAAAAATGTGAAAATATGATATATTAGGATTTCTTCCATTCCATATTTCATATAGAGTTTTGTTGTGCCTTTTGTAGATCATACTCCTATTTTGAGTATAGCAACCTGTGTTTACAGCTTCAGCCCAGAACCTCTTAGGTAAGAAAGCTTCTGCAAGCATGGTTCTTACTGCTTCCTTCAAGGTTATATTCCTTCTTTCAGCTACACCATTTTGCTGTGGTGTCTTTGCTGCGGATGTCTGATGAAGAATTCCATTTTCTTCACAGTAATGAATGATGAATTCATTCAGGAATTCTATGCATTTGTCAGATCTGATCTTCTGGATGGTCTGACTTGCTTGATTATGAATCAGCTTCATGCAGTTTGTGAGTTTCCCTTGAGTTTTCTTCTTGCTGTTTAGGAAGACTGTCCACGTGTATCTTGAGTAGTCATCAACCACTACTAAGACATATTTCTTTCCACTTAGACTTATAAGAGTGACAGGTCCAAATAAGTCCGTGTGAATAAGACTTAGTATCCTTGTAGTTGAGTGTGTCGGTTTCACCTTGAAAGTGGATTTGACTTGTTTCCCTTTCTGAAAAGCATCACAAATGCTTTCCTTCTTGTATACAGCTTTGGGAAGACCTTCCACTAACCCTTCTTTGGATAGTTTGTTGAGGGTTTTCAAGTTGAGATGACTCAACCTCTTATGCCAGAGCCATAGAAGGTTAGTGTCACCTTTGCTGATTAGGCATGCTTCCTTGACATCATCCCACATCACTTCGTAGATGTTCCTTATTCTCTTGCCAGTGAGAATGACTTCATTTGTGGAGATGTTCTTGAGGGATGCCATGTCCTTGCAGAATTCCAGAGAATAACCTTTATCACAGATTTGACTTATGCTTAGAAGGTTATAGTTGAGACCTTCCACATAAGATACAGCCTGGATGGTTAGTCCCTTTTACACCAGATTTCCTAGCTCTTTTGTAAAGCCAAAATCATTGCTTCCTCCAAAAGTAACTCTTGGACCATCATAGGGAATTAGATTGCTCAAAAGACTCGCATCACCCGTCATGTGTCTTGAAGAGCCACTGTCTAAGTACCAGACACCTGGGTACTTAGTGGCTTCCTGCATCAGGAGGAGGAAGATTTTGGTACCCAATTCAGTTTGGGTCCGGAATAGTTAATGGTGTGTGTCCCCACATCAAGTTTGAAGTTGCAGGGAATTTTCCTTGCAACGCTAAATTTGTTGGGGTTGTAATCATAGTTGTAGGCATAAAATTTCCTACGTGCAGGTGGAGTGAATTCCTGTTTCCTCCTAGTAAACTTAGGTTGGTGAGACCTATAGTTTTGTCTAGGTTGTGCATAGTGTGACATGTGAGAGTTGTAAGCATACTTAGGTGGAACAAACAATTTTTGTGGTGGAGGATGACTATATTTGGGCATAGTTCTCCACTCACTGTTTCTTGGAAAACTTCTATCTACCCCATAATGAGTATAGCCTCGTGAGTAGTGGGGGTTAGTAGGTTTTCTTCTGAAGTTGTTTCCTCTTTGAGGTATATCCAGCTTCCTATAGTTCTTAGGAGGGACAACCTTTTTGGGAACTTCTGTAGGTTTCTCCTTCTCCTTACCTTTCTGCTTATTGGGTTTGGCAGTAGGTTTGGGAGGAATAAATGTTGTTCTCCCTTTCCTTTTGGAACTGGAGGGGTCAAACCCAAGTCCTTCACGACCCTTCTTTTTGGTCGTTTCAAGAAGCTTATCCACAGCTTCTTTGGACTTTCGTATCCCTAGATCCTTGTTGAGAGATCTAACCTTTTCAGAGAGAGATTCATTCTCAGCTTTGAGTTGAGTGATCTCACTTAGTTGACACGTTATTCACTCAATAACGTGTTCTCTTCTGTTAAGGATGAGTGTTTGAGATTTATTTCCTCAAAATCTTCCATCATCTTTTTGAACTTGTCAAAAAGATTTTGAGAAGTTGGTATGCTTTCATAAGAAAATGAGCAGGAGGTTTGTGAAGTTACCTCTTCATTATCTTTGGCCATTAAGTAGAGAGTGTCATCTTCTAACATTATCTAACAATCTTCATGGTTGGATTTCTCAGTTCTGCGCTCCATGCAAATGAAGGCTTCCTCATCCGAGCTTGAACTGGATGACTCGTCACTTTCAGCTGCTACCATTGCCTTTTTCTTCTTATCATTCTTTTCTCCTTCTCTGTACTTCTCCACCTTTGGGTACGGACAAGCTGACTTCCAGTGGCCAGGCTTCCTGCAGTAATAACACAGATAAGTTCAGGGGGAGAGTTGCTTACCTGTAGCTTTCCATGGGATGGGTTTCTGACTGCGTCAGTTTTCTTGAAGAACTTCTTGAACTTCCAAAATTACTTGATCATCATTGCAAGCTCCTCTTTGTAGTTCTCCATCGTTGAGCTTGGTGGCTGGCTAGTGGAAGGAGTGTCACAGCTCCTTGGGCACGTCCCTTCGCTTGCGGAGACTCTTGAATTTGTCATCAGTTCCGTGGGAAAAGGAGTGACTTGTTCTTCCTTTTTCTTCTTCTCCAGCTCGTGCTCATAGGTTCTGAGCTAATCTAGGAGACCTTGTACAGTGTAGTTCTCCAAATTTCTTCCTTCTTCCATGGCTGTGGCTTTGGTGTACCACTCAGCCGGAAGAGACCTCAGTAACCTTACATTCTTTTCTTTGGGAGAAAGAACGTGGTTAAGTGATGCAAGATCATTTAGAATCTTGTGGAATCTTTCATCCAGCAAGTCAAATGATTCTTCGGGAAGCATTTTGAAGCTTTTGAACTTCTCAAGCAGAACCTCTATCTTCTGCTTTCTCAGATCTTCGGATCCCTCACACAGCTTCCTAAGACCTTGCCATATTTCCATGGCAGTCTTGAGATGCTTGATCTTGGAAAAGGTGATGGGATCCAGTGTCTTGAAGATGGCTCCTTTGGCGACGTTGTCCATATTGTGCTTTTTGCAATCTCTATCATCCCATTTCTCTTTGGGCTTTGGAATGTACTGGACTACGTCTGGATTCTTTGGATCCCTCTCTCGATTCTCCATTTGAATCTTCAGGGGTCCATCTTCCAGCACCATCCACATGCAATCGTGTAGAGCGTAGAGATGTGCTTCCATTATGATCTTCCAATCATCATAACCTAGAAGAGAAAACTTGGGCAAACCGTGATCCATATTGTTCACCATTATGATCGCTTCTCTTCAATCTAAATGTAGATAGTGAGAAGACTGCTCCGATACCAATTGGTGGTCCCAAAAGTGGTGAGATACAAAGTCTAAAGGGGGTGAATAGACTTTGTTACAATTTTAAAACTTTTTTGTTTCTTTTGAAAACGTGAAAATCAGTATTAATCTAAAGTTCTTGTGAACTTAGATTGAGTGCGGAAGTTGGTGGGTTATTGGAGCAGTAATTAATATGGATGGATTAGTTTCACAGTTAATGTAACTGCAAGTATAAGTAGAGATAAAAGAGAGAGACACGCAAACTTTAACAAGGTTTGAAGGTGGGGTAATCCTTCTACGTCCTCAAAATCCACTATGTAGTTGGTCGTTGAATAATGAACTAACAATTACACTTGTGTGAATTTCTGAACGGTATATCTTCGCAAGACCATTGTTGCTACTGCACTCGTGCTGACTTTGTTGTTCTTTCGAATGTCACGCTTCTTCAACAACTGCAAGATCCGAATAATAGGACTTGCAAGATCAACTTTAAGAAAAGTTGATGTGCCCCGTTTTAATCAAGAAGTTTGATTAAAAGTTGTCTCCTTCAACGTGGTGTGGTACTTGAGGCAAGGAACCCTTCAAGTGTTTACACTATAGCTCTTTGCAATGAGGAGAAGTTTGCTTTTGAATAAGGAGTTTAGAAATCTCTCTTTATCAGACTTTTTGGCTAACTGTGAATGAGATAGTTTGTGTTCGTCGTTGTTGTCGTAGTTTTTCTTGTTTTCTCATACACACATTTCTCTAGTCTTCCATGGAAGCTATATATAGCTGGGTGAATAATCTATCCGTTGAAGGGAATAGACTATCCGTTGTATTTGCTGGCTTCAATTTTGAACGAAGAGTGAGATTGAGGATTCTTCATTGGAATGGGTGTAACGCCCCAAAACATACCCTAGAATTATTATTAAATAATTATTCGATTAAACAAATTTGTTTTGATTAAAATAAATTGTTGTTGGGCTTTGGGCCGATACGAAATATGTTTTGATATCTATTATCACACCCTGGATAAATCTCATAGAGTTAAATCCAATATATTGACTTTTTGTGTGGTCTTGATTGGAAACCTGAGTACAGACCCAAATTAAGAATAAATGAAGAAATTATTTATAATGTGAACTTTGAAATGATATTTTGAAATAAATCATAGAAATAAATAATATGAATTAAATGTGAGAACCTTTTTGAATAAAAGTCAATTAAATCAATTTTGACTCTGTCAAAGTCAACCATCCAAAAATATGATGTCGGAAAAAGTGTTACAAATAAATATAAAAATTATATTTATGGATAGAGTTTAACTGTCTGACCGCAACGGTGCAAACGGAATTCAATTCGGAGAAAGTTGGACCAAAAAGTGTACCCTGACTCGAACCAAATTGGTCCCAATCAGGGAAGGGCGTGTAGATCAATTAGAATCGCCGTCCTGCGCACTAAGGAATTTGTACGTAGAAATGAGTCAGCTACCTATGTCTTCTTCCCCTTCTCTTCTTCTATATAAGGATACTCCATCCTTATCAATTTTGCACCAATGTTCTGGAAAATTATGCCATTGTGTTCATAAGAGTGAAGGGAGCAGTGTGCTGTTGTTGGTTGCCGCCGAAGTCGCCGGAGTGGGGAGTAATCATCGCCAGAAGTTTTGCCGGAAAATTTCCAAAACCTCCGTTAAGCTTCGTGGTAAGCCCGTAGATATATCTAGTGACTAGAATGTTCATATAGATTGTTTCTACGTTCATAAACGGTCATTTGGTTGTGTTTTGTGTTTGACATGTTTGAAGAACCAAGAATCATAAACAATTAAATTGTTGTTAAAATTACGAATTAATGACTCTAAAATGATCCGTGAACATTGGAGAACATTTTCATATAATTAAATTGAAGTTTGGTGATTAAAAATGATAATGTTAAAACTGACCCGAGGAAGAAGATGATGAATAGTGGCCAAAAATCGATTATTTACTTACTAAAAATCGATTAGAATTTTATTCATATGAACTGAATTTTATTCATCAGCTAAGAGCATTGTTATAATCTGGCCTTAGATTAAGAATAATTTAAGAGCACTATTGAAATAGTATCTGAATTGAATAAAATGTATTGATATGAACTGGACAATACCAAAACTGTAAATGTTTGAAATGAACATTGTGTGCATGATATCAAATGATTTGATTATGAATTTAGATTAAGTTTATATGGATGTTCGACGCATTAGATATGCTTACTCAGCTTTACCGCTGAGCGTGTAGTGTGTTTTATTTGCTACACGTAGGTAAGCAGAAAGAAGAATGTGATCCTGGCGGCAGATGGGGCGAGATTGTCGGGATGGATGTGACAAGTTTTGAAACAATTTATGATATGTCAATATTAAAATCGCTTCCGTAATATTGTTGAATACTCCGTACTGTATATGTTATGAAAAATATTATTGGGATTAATAAAGTGTGTTTGAAAAGTTTTAAATTTTTACGATTACCAAGTTAAATACTTTAGTCCGAAAGGGGCTGCAGACCTGGACGGATTAGGGTGTTACAGTTTGGTATCGGAGCAAATGGTTTTAAAACTGATCTTCGGATCAAAATTTGATTTAAAAAAAATTGTCAATCACATCCACGACTCTCGCATCCCTCTGCTCCAGGAAAGGTATGAGAATTTATTAGATAAATATTGACTTTGTTAAAATTCTGATTAGATAACAATTGTTAGTACTGAAATTATATCGAGCATAGACTCAAGTAGATTTTTCGTACTCGGTGAAGAGACGAAGGAATTGTGATACGTTATCAACGTACTTATCATATCGCGATTGACGAAGCTGATCTATCTCGCAAAGTCGCATAGAAGTGAGACGACTATGAAAAAACGCCTAATGTTGAATAACATTCGCGAAGCTGCTGTCAAAGATCCTCTTGTGGACTGAAGATGATCGGATTGCTAATTTAAACACGAACGTTTAGAATCAATAAACTTTGTTGTCAAAAAGTATCCCATTCTGATGTCTAACTCATTACGACGCAAATATGCGATTATATTATACGAATCGAAATAGTTCATTCAGCAACAATTCCTTGCAAAACTTTGTTAAAATATCATACAAGGAAATTGACGTTATCCTTATTTCGTATCTATGACTTATTTGATCAGCTTAGAGAATCCATTGTGCTCTCTAAGATTGACTTACGGTCAAGGATACTACCACATCTCTGTTAAGACAGACAAACTGACGATCAAGAATCGCTACCCTTTACTATGTATTGACAATCTGTTCAGTCAAATTCAAAGGAACCTACTTGCTAGAAGCTATGGATAGCTCAATCTTGTTGAATGAAGTGACGCATTGTTATGACACGATTAGTGACTTAAACATCGATATAGTCTGAATAAATATC